TATGCCATGACTGTGAGAAGAAAGAAATCAGATGCCATAAATGACATAAACAATAGTACTTGTGCAACACACCCAGAGTAGGAAATGTACCTGGTATTCATGAGGGAATTGAGCATAGACTTGGGATTAATGACTGAAACTTGTCCCAGGTCCTGCATGGCCAAGTTCATCAGGAAGAAGTACATGGGGGTGTGCAGGTGGTGGTCAAAGGCTACTGCAGAGATGATGAGAAGATTCCCTGTGACAGTTGCCAAGTACAATACCAGGAATATAATGGAATGTAGAATTTGCAGTTCCCGAACTTCTGAGAATTCTAGGAGGAGAAATTCTGAAAAAGATGATTGATTATCCATGCTCTGCTTCTTCACATTCATGTTGCTGTGGAAGGAAGCAGAAATACCGCTGTTGAGATGGTTACCCCTCTCATTTAAGTTTTTGTTGCTGCTGATGATGTTTAGTTATTGTAGCAGGCAGCAATGTTCTGAAGGAGTCAGTATTTTTTTTTGGGGGGGGGGGGGATGAGCCCGAAAATGATGATGATGGCTGTGAATACTAGTGCTATTATTATTAGCAATGCAATTATGTTTGCAAGGTCATTATTGTTTGTTCATACCACTGATTCACTATTTCCCTTAAGAGCTTGACTATTTAAAGGAGTTAGGTGCCAAATATCCCACTTTCTGCTGACTGAATCTTTGGAATGTGGATCAGATACATGCACAATAATGTTGTGAAATTCCAGTCAATACTAGCCTGATATTCTGGCCCCCCTAATATAATGCCATAGCTCAATTTTAGAAGGCAAAAGGCCATTTCATAATTTATTAGAAACCATGATGACAGGGTGAATCTGACATGAGCTTACTCATCACAGTCAATAGTCATCATCTTTAACATCTGGCTAATTACTAAGGAGGGCTTTTACTATTCCTTTGTTTCTCTTGATTTCTCATCAGGGACAGATGCTTGGTAAAACTACAGTAAGCTTCTAATTTAATGGCAAAGGTCCCAGCTTAGGGAAAGAGCACATGTTTCCACAGGTCAGCATCTGGGATCTCCAAGGAGGACTAAGAAAGACCACTGCCTGACATCCTGTGGAGCTGCTGGGTAGCCCACCTTTCCCCAGCCTGGTGCCCTTCAGATATTTTGGACTAGAACTTCGTAAGCACTGGCTGTGCTACCTGGGTCAAAGGAATTGTAATCCAAAACCTAAGGAGGGCAGCAGGTTCAGGGAGGCTGGTGTACATAACAACATAGGTAGCCAGTTTATACTGGGTCAAAACCAGTGGTCCATCTAGCTCAGTTTTGACTACAATGAAAGACATTCAGACATTATTTCCCACCTGCCCTAGCTGAAGATGCTTGGGATCTTCAGTATACAACATGGATGCTCCACCACTGGCAATGCTGAGGTAGAGGTATCAATGGTCTGACTCAGCATGAGGCACTTTCCTATGTGACAATGGTTGCCTCCTTTCCACTGGATGGAAGATTTTGAAAGAATAGAAAAGAAATTGGTGTCCAAGAAATGGCTGCAGATGAACAGTGGTAGAAATATGACGGGTGATATGGGCAGAGGGAAGTTTGGACTTGTAACCAGTCCAAAGAAAAAAAATAATGTGTCAGTTACAATTCAAAAGTAAGAGAGAGAAAATATAGTAAAATACACATCATATAAACATCAGCTAGGATGAAATGAAAATAAAGTCCTAAAGAAAAAAAGGAATTTAGGCTTCACAGAGTATAATGTGAAGCTGCACCACAATTGCCACAAAATCATCCAGACAGTCACAGTATTATTTCAGTTAATATTTGCCCAGGATATACAAAACCTTTGCCCTTAGTATTTGACCGGGCTCAACATCACCAGGGTTTTAAGAAATAAAAAAAGTAAAAATCCTGTTTTTAAAACTCCTCAGATATTTTCCCAGATGAGAAAAATGGATATTCAATTTAAATGTGAATTTACATTCAATATCAGTGACTAGTCCCATTGCCGACTGTAGACCTCTGCGTTAGAAATCTACAGCAAATTAATTCAATTAAAGTTGCAATTCACTTCCTAGTATGAAAACATCTGAAAATATCCAGAAAATAGATGCAGCACATGTTGATGTACCTTGTATTATGCCAGATTCGTGAACAGAGGTAGAGAGTTCCAGGAGAGAGTGACTATTGGTGCAGGAGAGAATATGACAGATAGAGATGACGAAGGGAGGGTGACCAGTTCATTTCATTCATTCAGAAAATTCAAAGAAAGTATCTTACTATTTTTCTTCATATTCTTTTACTTCTCCAGTGCAATTAAATGACTAAATGCCACTCCAGCCAAACGTGCTATTTTATAAGAATCCACTTACATGGGTATCTAATAGGACAATAAACATTTATCAACATGGGGAAGAAATTTATTAATATATCTTCTGTCTTCCTAGAGATTAGTTCTCATGGGAATTCAACACATCTCAGCATTAGGGTTGTACAGAAACAATAATATATTTTGGTCAGTTTTCCTAATTTGATTAGGAAAGCCTGTTTGTTTAGGGTAGCATGAGAATAACGAAACTAAGAGAGGAACTAATCATTCCACCACAGTTTTCGCAAATGTACTCATTTGCATGCAATTCTTCTGGCATGGAAACCTCTAATTGCCAGTGTTAATGATGAGCTGCACCACATAAAGCCTTGGGTCACAAGGCAAGCTGGTCAATAAATCACACAGTTCAAGCTGGCGTTATCTCTTTATTAGTGAGACAGATCTGAGTTTCATGCCTAATGACCACAGCAGCTCATGACTGACTCCATGAAATCAGTAGTTCTGACTACATGAAATCTGTTGCCCACACTGAGAGTTCGTGCCTCCCCACAGCTATCTGTGTCTCCTTCTCTCCAGGGCTTTTTGAAAACAATTGGAGACTGCACCTGCATATGGCCTGCCTTTGCTCCCCCTCTCCTGGTTCTGGGAGTATGTGGGGAGGGGAGCCTGCAGCCAAGCTGATGTCAGTCATGCATATCACAACTTCTCTTAATTTCTAATCAAGCACAGATACTCGGTAAAATCCCAGCAAGCCTCTATTAATCAGGAAGGGCCCCTCCCCCATTACACATCAGAGAACTGCCATCTCTATAATGTTTCTGGTGCCTGTTGAAAACTTTAATATTTCAAGAATCCTTCTGAGTGCAGATTTTTATCCCAGTAGGTATCTGTATTGGATTTGGAATTGTTTTTATATCTGGGTAGAAATTAACATTGTGATATTGTGAATGTCCCATCAGTAATGAAGCTTACTGATGAAACAATTCCCCTTCTCTCCCACATACTATTTGGAGAGTTCTTCTAACCCAACCGAGAGTCAAATTTGGAGGGCTTGGGAGGGGCAGGTGGAAGGAGAAAGAGCCCAAGTGTGTGTGCTAGCAGGAATCACACAGGATATATATGGTGTATTATATATATATATATGGTATCTATATAGTGTATGTATGTATATGTGTGTGTGTGTGTGTGTGTATACACACACACACACACACACACACACACATATATATATATATACACACACACATATATACACACACACACACACATATGTGTGTGTGTGTGTGTGTGTGTGTGTGTGTGTGTGTGTGATGAATATATATATATGATGATACTCATAGACTACCTTTCTCAATCTCCAGTTTCCCATACATTTTTCTTTAGATCCCTTGGATATTATCTGCATAGCTCTACAAGATCTGGTAAAAGTTGAGAATTCTTATACACCATTTGATATATCACCATCTAAAGGAAAGTTGCTTGCAGCACATCATCTCCACCCCTAAATTGATAGCTGTCAACTGGTATTTGCCTGTGGGAGCGATGCTTCATAAGCACCTTGAAAACCACTTGTAGATCATCACCCACATCTCAGGATCAACCCCTTTGCTCATCACCTGTTGAGCTGAATGGCAATCCTGCAGCATGTGGGTGATGCTATGCAAATGGCTTTAATCCACACCCACACCCCCGCTCAGCTGTTGGGTCAATCCAGAAGGGGGGCTTCTTGGTCAATCCTCAGCCTGCCTACCAACCTTGTTTCTGTTGCTGCACAGACATAAAGATTTTACCTCACCTTGATTGGGATAGCTAATATTTGTTGTGATTTTTTTCTGTGAACTGCCCTGAGACCGCCAGGTGTAGGGCGGTATAAAAATTCAATGAAGGAGGACAAGGAGGAGGAGGGAGCCCCCTCCAGCCTTCCAAGGATACATTTTACAGCCAACTTAAGTTTTAGCAAAGGAGACAAATAAAATTTATTTAACCTGTTCATTACTACACTGAATGAACACCAATGCTTTAAACAATGACTTAAGCTTTAACTGAGCATTTACTCTGTTTTATGCAGAAGTATGTGAAATATACACTTTGTTGTGGCCAGGGAGAAATGCCTGTATGGCATGATTACATGCTAAGATTAGGTTGCCAGTGGTAAACAAAGCTTCTTGTTACTGCATCTCATCAAAATGTCTTTGTTATATGCTACGGCAGATAAGAAATACACTTGCTACACTATCCATTGAAAACAACATTGTCCTAAACCTTGGTCTCTCAGCCACTGTGCTACAGTTTGCACAATCCAAAGTTCAAGAAGTCCCATTCTGAGCAGTGACAGTGCACTACGCAACACAACAGAACTATTACTTGCAGTATTTTGTTTTATTTTGTTGGGATTCCTATCTTTTGGTTAGCGTCCTTTATTTTAGAATATTCATTATATTTATCTTTGAAAAGATAAATAAACATTTATATATAAAAAAGTACCCAGCTGAATTATTAAAGCTTACAACTTTAATTTGTTATTATTTATATAATATTTATTGTATTTACCTCATTTGAAATTCTAAGTGCTTGGTAACATGGCCTCAAAGTAAAGCTACATTGTATTGATTCTTTTACCTAGCACTGAAACAGAAGCTTACTTTAAAGCTAATTGAAGGAAGACCATTTTTTTGAAGTTAGTGCCCATACAATTTACAGAATCTTGAAAGAAAGGTTATAAACACTTGCTTTTTGCCACCCTAGCTTACTGCAGTCAGTACATAATATTAAAAAAAACCCAGCCAGTGAGCTCAGCTTGGTGCCCCCCTAACCTTGATGACCTAGATGACTGCCTGGTTGGCTACTTCAAAGGTTATCTTGTACATGTACAATCTCTTGCCGATGCAGGAAGCCCACTACTACCACATCACTGACAAACAGCCACCCAGGCTTCTCAAGAAACACACTTCTGAGAAAGTCTGCTCTACTGCCAAACAACTCGTTCTATCAGGAACTAATTCCAAATCAAAATCTACTTACAAAATATACAAAATCTTATTATTCGAACCTATTTGTGTGGCTCTTGTCCTTCTTGAGCAACAGAGAACACTGAACCAAGCATATCCAATTCCTTCAACTGATCCTTATAAGACATCCAGTTTTCTATCATAAGAGTTATACATAGAAATCACCTTTGCAGCAGCATAAGACTGTAGAAGGCATTCAAAGGAAATAACCTCAAATTCAATAGATTTGACACAGCATTTTTTATCTCCCTGTTTCTCATGCTGTAGATAATTGGATTCATCAAGGGTGGAACTATGGAGTAGACCATGGCAAATGCCAAATCCAGATGTGATGGGGTGTTAGAGGCAGGCTTGAGGTAAGCAAAGTATCCGGTGAATATAAATAGGGAGAAAACTAATAGGTGTGGAAGGCAAGTTGAAAAAGCCTTTTGCCTTCCTTCAGTAGAAGGTATTTTCAGAACTGCAGTAAAAATTTGCACATAGGATACAATGATGAAGATAAAGCTTCCTGTCCCAATGACAACACTTAACCCAACAACTCCCATTTCAATGAGGTACAAATCAGAGCAGGCCATCTTAAGTAAATGTGGGATTTCACAGAAAAATTGATTAACCACATTGGAGCAAAATTTAGGTGCAAAGGTACCTCCGGTGTGTAACACTCCATAGAGAAAGCTGATGATCCATACACTAACAATCATTTGGATGCAAGCTTCCTTATTCACCAGGATCTCATAATGTAATGGTTTGCAAATGGCAATGTACCTATCATACGCCATGACTGTGAGAAGAGAGAAATCTGATGCTACAAAGAAGACATACAAGAGGACTTGAGCAACACAGCCAGAGTAAGAAATGTGTCCGGTACTCATGAGGGAATTTGCCATGGATTTGGGGATAATGACTGAAACTGAGCCAATGTCCTGTATAGCCAAGTTCATCAGAAAGAAGTACATAGGAGTGTGCAGGTGGTGGTCAAATGCTACTGCAGAGATGATGATAAGATTTCCTGTAATTGTAGCAAGATAAAAAGCAAGGAATCCAAAGAAGTGTAGAATCTGCAGTTCCCGAATCTGTGAGAATTCCAGCAGATAAAACTCTGATGGAGCAGATTGATTCATTATTCTTTCCTCCTTGACATCCATGCTGCCTCTGGAAGGTAACAGAAGAACAGTTGTTAAAAATGAGAGTATTATTATTATTATTATTATTATTATTATTATTATTATTATTATTTCTAAATTATTTTAGAATAAGGCACTGTTCTAAGGAAGAAAAGCTGATGTTGATGACTGTAATATGTGTAATGTATTATTAGAATTGATGCTTGCAAACTAGTTTTATGTAACTAAGGCACAATGTCATTTAACAGTTTGAAGTTTCCATAAATCAACTGCTAAATATCCCACCTTCCAGTGACCGAGTCCCTGAGTGTGTAAACTCAAGTCGCATTTCACACACCCGAGAATGTTGTCCACATTCACCGCCTAAATAGACGATCATAATGTTGCCTCTCTAACAGTGTGAAAATAATGTGGTAGCTCAATTATAAAAGGAAAAAGAACTAACTCATACCATTCCAAACTGGTCATCTTTAACATTTGGCAAATTAACTAGGGGGATTTTACTGATCCATTGTGTTTCTTGATTTCTCATCAGGCACAGTTGCTTAGTAAAATCAGAGTATGCCTCCAACTTACTGATACTTTCCCCCATTCACGGATATGTGCTTCCATTCATGCTTACACAAGTCACTCCCTGGCACCTCCAAGTTGGACTGAAAAATGTCACTGTCTGACATCCTGGAGAGCTGCTACTAGACACTGTAGTGTCCTACAGAGGTTTTCTACACTGATTTGCAGTGGCTTTCCAGGGTTTCAGACAGGTTTTCTTTCAGCCCACTCCCTGAGCTTTACATGAAGATAGGAATGAACCCTTTGAAGCCTTGCAAAAAGCTGCAGGAGAAGGACTGTGAGTAATATCATAGAATCATAGAACAGTAAAGTTGGAAGAGGGAAATCTAGTCCAACCCCCTACAATGCTGGGAGTTTTTCCTCCAACATGGGGCTCAAATCCATGACTGAGATTAAGAGTCTCATGCTCTACCGACTGAGCTCTCCCAGCTCATCATAGGAAGGGTGTTTCCAGCTATCCCACCCCTTCCCTTGGAAGCCCTTTGGTTGCCTCTTTTCAACCAAAGAGAAAAGGGTTTCAAAGAAAGGAAGCATATAAATGGTTGAGGAATGTTTATAGAACAGCCAAAGGGAAATGAAGAATGAGAATGTGGGCAAGGAGAGGAATTTGGACTTGTTGAACATGATAGCTGTATGACAGGCACAAATAAAAAGTAACTGTCTTAGAAACACAACATTTCTGACATCACAAAATTATATGTGATGTAATTATTAGCTGGGTTGAAATGGATTAATGGATTATTATTTTTTAATCCAGGCTTCACATGGTATAATGTGAAGTTATTCAGCAATCTGACACAAAAGAATAATAGAATCATAGAGCTGGAAGGAATGCTGAGGATCATCTAGTCCAACCCCCTGCAATGCAGGACTATGCAGCCGTCCCATACGGGGATCAACCCTGCAACCATCCTCTAACCAACTGAGGTATCCAGGCTTCATTCACAGTATATATCCAATACTTCAGAAAACGTCTACCTGAGATGTACACATCCTTCCTCAGGAACACTGGACTACGTTTAGCAAACTTCCAAGGATTTTCTTTAATGTAGAAAAGTCCTCTCTTTAAGATACTTCAGGTGAGGAAGAAGAAGAAGAGTTTGAATTTGATATCATGCTTTATCACTACCCTAAGGACTCTCAAAGCAGCTAACAATCTCCTTTCCCTTCCTCCCCCACAACAAACACTCTGTAAGGTGAGTGGGGCTGATAGACTTCAGAGAAGTGTGACTAGCCCAAGGTCACCCAGCAGCTGCATGTGGAGGAGCGGGGATACAGACCCGGTACTCCAGATTATGAGTCCACCGCTCTTAACCACAACACCACACTGTTGTAGTGTCCAATTCAATTTTTAGTTGACATTAAATGCTAATATTCAGTCTTGCTATCGATAACCTGTAGCCCTCCAAGATGGAGTTTATACAGCAGATTTATTTAATCCACATTGCAATTCACTTGGTTGTGTGAAAATATCTGAATATTTCAAGAAAATAGACAAACTGCATACACTGAAGTGCTTTGTGCAATTCCAGACTGAAGAATACAGAGAAATTTTCAGGACACAGCGCCTATACAGTATGTGGAGGAAAGACTATGATAGAGAGACAGGGACAGGGGAAGGGGAGATTCATTATTTTCATATAGAGTGCAATTGCAAAAAAACCAACAAAAAAACACACTAAACAGCTTACTATTTTTCTTTGTAGAATTCTTTCCACTTTTTCTCCTCCAGTGAAAATAAACGATTGCATATCATACCAGCTACACATGCAATTATATAAAAATACTCCTACACTTGGAACTATAAGGGCAATAAAATTTGTCAGCATGGGGAGGAGATTTATTAATAACTCATTTCTGTTCCTAGAGATTTGGTTTCAGAGGAATTGAAAGCCTCTCAGTAGTAGAGCTGTACAGAAACAAATTTATTTCAGATATGACAATTCAAAGAAACAACAGTTTAGGATGGACATATGCCCATTTTTAGAAGCACCCACAACAGGAACTGCAGCAAGGTGAATGGCTACAGCTGCATGTTTAATTAGTATCAGGGACATAGATTTATGGAATGAGGTGTTTGGGGGAAAGTCAAGTTAGCTCTACTCCCTTTCTCAAATGAGGAAGGTATCTTTTTTTGATCTATCTATCCCTCTCCTCCATTCATAGGAAGTGAATGGTGATAGCATTTTATTCTGTGAACTGCCCTGAGACCTCCAGGTACAGGGCAGTATATTATTATTAATATACTATATAATATACTATATTAATAATATAGTATATTACTATTATAATAATTCCAAAGAGGTAGCTGTATCTCATCCCACCACAAAACAGCTCCAACTGACCTACAACATTTGCTCCCTCATTTTATCCTCATAGGAACTGTAAGGAAAACACTAGGTAAGGCCAAAGGTCAAACAATGAACTTTTTGTGTGAGTGGGAATTTGAACCCATTTCAATTTGATCAAACAGACTTCCCCATACTGGTGCCCTTCAGATGTTTTGGACCAACTCCTATCAGCCACAGCCAGAATAAGCTAATGGTCACTCCAAAACAACACACAGGCACACCAAAATAATACACAGGGATGGGGGGGGGAGAGAAGGTTGCTGTAAACAGAGGGTCTCCTGCAGATACCATTTCATCAGCAGATCTGTTCCATTTGGGCCTTTAGTGTGGTGGCATTTACCCTGTGGAAATCCTTCTACTTATATATTAGGCGATGTCTATATTGCCTTTTTGGCATCTGTTGAAGACTTTCATCTTCCAACATGCCTTCTAAGTGAATAGTCTTATCCTAGTTGGTATCTGAATTGGATTTCACAATATTTGTGCTAAACCAGGACTTCTTTTACCCTTGGTTAACCCTCCAGGGGTGAAATGTGGGTGATGGGTGCAGTCACCCCACAAACTAACAGAGAGGCACACATTTCAAAGAACAACTACTTCTCAGTTGATTCATGGAGATGAGCTGAAGAGTAGGGCTATTTCTCCACTTTACTCATCAAACGATCACCATGATGACTAGGGACTGGGTGCTGGTCTCATCCAAACATGGAATCAACATTCTCTTTTGTACTTTTTGTCAAATTCAGAAAAGTCTTGGCTAGGTCTGAAAAAATGGGGGGGGGAGGCTCCAAATAGTGTGCTGTTAGCCTCCCTACTTCTAAATAACAGAGATTTGTTTTTCAGAGTACAATAAACAAGAGTGATATCAATCCAGTATGGATTACACAGACCATGAGCTTACATTTATAAGAATTAGAATGTCAACAGAGCAAACAGTAAACTAACATATAAAGAGAAAAGTAGTATAAATGCCTCTTTACTTATGAACACTTCAGAATAATGTTGAGTTACAGAGTATTTCAAACCTTAACATGTCTAATTTACAGTACTCTCAATTTCTGAAATATATTTCAGGTGCAAAATGTATTATAAATTAAACAGGAAATGTGAGTAATTAGGCAGCATTTAATAATTTAAAAAAACTAATACTCTAAACTTTACAGCTTAAATATGTGCACATAGTGTAAACATCACAAAAATATCAGTTCCCCATTGGGATTAACAAATACTGCACATTTATAGGAAAAGCTTGCGAGATTATAAACACATTAGACACAGAAAAAAAATATTCTTGTGCCTTGAGCCAGAGCCCTGAACCCAAATTAAATGAATGTCAGGGGTACAATCTTTAGCCATTTAATTATTGAAGTAAACTTAATTGAATTCAGTGGTGACTATGTACAATCTGACATGGACAAAATTGCACTGTAATTTTGTTTAACTGAGGAAGGGCAACTGAAGATAAATCCAGTCAAGACAGAAGCAATGGTGAACACCAGCCAACCTGAGCAGACAACAAAGGTGTAAATGGTGCAACTGACCTGGAGGAATGGATGAAGGGTGACTTTGTGAACACATAGAGAATTTTGTGTCTACACACCCAAATGTACCCATAAAATAAATGGTGAGTTTCACAGAAATCAGAGTTGAAAGTGACTTAAAATGTCATTTTGCTGATGCAGGAAAACCCCTATCATAGTGTCAGGGAACTGACATCGGAGGAAGGGGAGGGGGAATTACTCACAGAGGCTGGGAGGGAGTCAGCAGCTAAAGCAGGGACCAGCAGGGGGAGAGAGGGTACTCTGGAGGAGGATCTCATGAATGCTGAGAGAGACGCAGCAGGCAAAGCAGGAACTAGCCGGGAAGAGGGAGGGATGAGGGACATGTCCAGCGAGAACAGCGGGGAGGTGTCAGAAGCGCCCATAGGGAGACCCATGCTTCGCCGGAAGCTGCCACGTCGTGAGTCCAGGAGACGCGTTTCCGTTAAGGAGCTTCTATGCTGGAAGCGCTTCCGCAGACAGCCACTGTCAGACTCTACGAGTGATTAGAGCAGACATGTCTGAGGAGCTCTGTCACACACAGAGGTTTGTGGAGTCGCAC